CCTGGGATCATGACCTGAGCTGAAGGCAGTCGCTTAACCAACTGAGCCACCCAGGCGCCCTCAAAAACCTTTTGATCTGACACCACCAACCACCATGACCTCCCATATAATTTACCTAAAAGTCTCTTCCAACTGTTGACTCTAGTTCCTCCTGATCTCATTCTTCCTAGCCCATGGCCTAAAAATTATAGTTGACCATTAAGCAACACAAGTTTAAACCTCATCAGTCCACTTACATGTGAATCTTTTTTATAAATACAGTACAGTACTGTAAATGTATTTTTTCTTATGATTTTTTAAAATAGCATTTTCTTTTCTCTAGTTTATTTATGGTAAGAATACAGTATGTAATAGATATAACATGAAATAAGTGCTAATCTACTGTTTATGTTATCCATAAGGCTTCCAGTCAACAGTAGGCTATTAGTAGTTAAGTTTTGGAAGAGTTAAAGGTTATATGTAGATTTCTGACTGCGTGGGGGAGTCAGCACTCCTAACCCTCATGTTGTTCAAGGATCAACTGTAGTTCTTTTTTTGCTTTGTTTGTTTAGCTCACCTCCTCCTCAGAAAGAACAAAGAAAACAAACATCTACACTCCAAATACTATAGCCTCCCTTATATTTGGTTCAGATGACCTACATTTAACTAATGTTCTCATTATCAGTGTCAGTAACAAAGCTGAAAAAATAAAATTACAAGTGTCTAAAAGCCAATCTAGTAAATATTTATTCTACTTTTGGGACTATTAAAGTACAATATTTCACATAATAAAAATAAGTTGAAAAAGAAGAAAAATTCTAAAAGCAATCCATAAATAAAAATAGATGGAACCAGCTGGAAGATTTATTAAATTGAAACTAACTTGCAAATTATTCCCTTTAAAAAAAGGTTACAATAACTATTGGGTTTGACTGTTTAAAATAACAGCAAATGCAGACACTGAGACGTTGCTGGTGGTATAGCTTCTGCAATAAGAAATATAAAATTACACATTGACACTGATGACTGGACAAGTTTCTTCTCTCAATCATAGCATTCTAGCATAAGATACCCTCTAAAAATTTTATGAATTACAGTAATCTTTTCACTGAGAACCAGCAACCCCATTTATTCTCAAACTTTGTTTCTTCCAATAGAAGAGATTTGTCACAAGGATGACACAGATCTCTCCTAAATCCTCGCTGAACTCTTTTTTATCATGATTAACCCTATAGGTTTATTTCCCTTAGGATGGATGCAAAGAACAACCTGTCTATACTAAAATTCAAGCACGGGGTTCCTGGCATCATTATTCGATTACTACTCACTAATATTTCTTGTGAAATCTTACTGAGATAACCATATAAAGTATCTTCTGAGATGCAGATAAACAGCAAGTATATCTACTGATGAACCTGCAAAGTCATAGTATAAAACTCAGTGTTCAGCACCTTTAGGATAATATATAAATAAATCAGAATTGGTGGGAATCAACATATGTTTGATACAATCCCAAATTTAATAGTATCAGATATAGCTGTGCTCTATCCCAATTATTTTAGTTTATAAAAAACACAACAGTCAAAAGAAAAACAATAATTGTTCTGTTTAAGGGGGATGGTTTTATTGACTATGTTAAGAAACAAAAGCTACCACAATTCTTAAAAGGAAGAGCTTAAAATTTATACCAAACATTTTTACCTAATTAATCCCTATTCTTCTTTTAGATCTCAACTCACCCTATCAATTCTTGAAGGAAGACCTACCTGAACTTTTTAACTTGATAAATACATCCTATTATATACTTACTACCCAATGCAACTTTCCTTCATAGTACTTAACACAGCAGTAATTTTACACAGATTTGCATGATCCCTTTTAAAATCTCTTTCGATTATTGAAATTGTCAAACACAAGTAGAGAACAGTAAAATGAACCCTATGTATCCACAGTTGTGTGATTCTGTGATTAAGATATGCCATTTCCATTATACACTAAGCTCTCTAAGAACAGGTACCATATCTGTTTTTATTTATCATTGTATCCCCAGCATAGAGCATAATGCTTAAAATATAGTGGGCATTCAAAACAAAACATTGCTGAATGACGCATAAAAATAAAAACTGTATGGATAGGTACTCTCATCATATTAATAATAGGAGCTAATATGTCCATTCAAGAGCTCAGTTTATTCAGCAACATGGATGTGCATTTTGAAAATACCTCATCTGAACAGCTCCATTAGTTACCATATATAAGTTTTTTTCCTGGGATTTTATCCCCCTATGGATGGAGGAATCAGTTGCTAAACCCTGCCCCTAAAGTTTTTGCAAGATGAAGTTTTCCTTTCCAATATAAATCTCATAGAACTTAAGTACCAATAAAAGACTTGCTTCATGTTTAAGTAGAATGATCTCTTCCTACATTTAAACACTGAACACTTAATTTTTTTCATGGCAGTCAATCAGTACAGTGAATGGGTACAGTGCAACATGATTATTCACATACAGTCAAAGACAGCTTGCATGCTTTCATAGAACTAACAAAAGAAACAAATGGTAAAGAGACTCAAATAGGGATTGGTAAAAGTCACTTGGAATAAGCACAGGAAGAAAGAACCAATAAGAAAATAAACAGTATCTAAAGAAAACTATGGCTGAAGACATATCAAAACTTGAGAGGACCTGGGGAGAAAAAAACAGTTTGTCCATGCACAATATTAGGAAAGCACCCATAGGATCCATGTTCCATTCCCAGCACACTCCTGATTTAGTTAATTCTTCACACTAAATGAAGTATAGCTGAAATTAGGTCATCTCCTCTGGGTGGCAACACTTACCACAAAGGTTCTTACATGTCCTCTGTTTTGTTTTGGTTTTAAATGCACTTATACACATTACTTGAAATTTTGCATGCGGCTTCAAATACTTTCAAGGCTTATATGGAAAGAAAGAAATCTGCAAGGGTGAAAGCAATAAATGTTTTTACCTATTTATGTTAATATCTGCTGGAGCCCAGAGTACATGACAAGAACTCTGAAGTCCATCACGGCCAGCTCTCCCAATCTCCTGGTAATATGATTCCATTTCCTTAGGAGCACCATAATGAATGACTTTGCGAATGTCAGCTTTATTAATGCCCATTCCAAAAGCTATGGTAGCCACGACACACTGAGAATAAATAACAACATAGTTTGACAAATATGTAGCAGAACCAAAACCTGACATCTTTACCTTTTGGTAAGAGTAATAATTGGTTCATTAACTAAACTCCCTGGCATGAAACTGAATTTAATATAATTTCAACCAATCACTTACAGATCAAAAGATTATCTGCCCAATTTACAAATTAGGGATTGGTAACCCTAAAATAGGATTTTTATTTAATCCCTATAAAAAATAGCAACTAAAGTGGTCTCTCTGAACACCTATGAGTGAGTACAAGACACAAAATAGGCTCTTAAAATACTTATTAAAAGAGACTTTGTGTTATTATGAAGTTTCAAGAGTCCTTACCTGATTGCCCAGTATCTTAATATTTTCTAGCATTATTCCAAGATGGAAGGAAACTTCTCATTAAAGATGGTAAAATGAAACATGAATTTAACTCAGCATCTTTAAAATAGGATAAAACTGGTAGATATCTAACATATATGAGCATACTGAAATGAGACTTACATGATTGGGAGGAATTTTAGGGAAGAATTAATGATAAGAACATACAAAAAATTAGAAAAAATTTTAAAGTATTAACAATAAAAGAAGATGTGCAATAAAAGTAACTATAATATACTACATGGCTTAGAGATAAAAAGCATTTACAGAGAAGTAATTATGTAAATATATAATATTTGAATATATATATTGATCTAACCAAATTATGTTAATGTTGGGAGGAAAGCGGGTCAGAAATACATAAACAGAGTGAGCAGAGGGTAGGAAGGGGTGTGAAAGGGAGCTAAACTTTCACGCCTCATAGTGGGAAGTCAATAGACAATGCCTAAATCTAATAAATGAAAACTAAGTGGTAAGAGTAAAAGCAAATCACTGCAAGATCTAGTGGTAAACACCAAAAGAATAAACCAAAAGAGATGAGAATAGGAGACAAAAGTGGGGAAAGAAGGAGGGGCTGATGTTCTCATTTTAAGCACTGTAGAAGTAGCTGGTTCTTTAAACTATGTGTGTGTATAACCAATAAAAATTAAAGTGCTATTAAATGTATTAAGGGGCGCCTGGGTGGCTCAGTCGTTAAGCGTCTGCCTTCGGCTCAGGTCATGATCCAGGGTCCTGGGATCGAGCCCCGCATCAGGCTTCCTGCTCAGCGGAAAGCCTGCTTCTCCCTCTCCCACTCCCCCTGCTTGTGTTCCCTCTCATGCTGTGACTCTGTCAAATAAATAAATAAAATCTTTAAAAAAAAATG